GTTTTAGTGCATATAACAACTGATGTGGATGTGGAAGGTTTAAAAGAAGTCTCAAAAGGCAAAAAGGATTTGAAAAAGATTGCTGATGAATATCTGACTTTAAAAGCTAAAGTTTTGGAAAAAACAGTAAATAAACTCCTGACCTTGAAGCGTAAAAAAGTACTGTTGATATTAGGTAGCGGAGGCATGGTCAAATCAACATTTAATCGCTATCTTGCTCGTCGTCTATGGCAATATGTCAAACAAGACATGACGCAACCTATTCCTTTATTTATCGCATTAGCGCCACTAGAAGAGTTTATAAATAAAAATCAGGATTTTATTGAAGTCTATTTGCGGGAAAAAGGCAAACTGACCACAGATCAAATTAAAGAATTGCGCAATAGGAAGTTTGTATTTATTTTAGATGGTTATGATGAGATTGCTGAACGTGAACGTCATTGCTATAACAGCAATATGTTCTCTAAATGGAAAAATGCGAAAATTATCATCAGTTGTCGACCAGAATACTTAGATGTAGGTTATGAAAAAAGGTTCTGGCCTAAAGAAAATGGAAAAAGAGGGTTCCAGGAACTGACACTTACACCATTTGAGTGGGATGAAATAGGACAATATATTATAAAATATGTTGATTATTCCGAGAAGAAAGGTAGTCCATTACCATTAAATGCAGACACATATATACAGCAAATAAAAAATATACCACAAATAAAAGATCTTGTGTGCAATCCCATTCTATTAAAAATTACTTTGACTGTGTTACCAAGCCTTCTCGGAAAAACAAAAACGTCTCAAATAAATCGTATGGTTTTGTACGACGAATTTATTGTGAAATGGTTTGAGCGTGCTCAAAATCGCTTGCAAAGCATTCAACTAAAACCTAAAGAACGAGAAGAGTTTGATAGCTTAAATGTAGACTTTACTAAACATTGTTTACAATTTGGTAAAGAATTTGCTTTCAAGATGTTTATGGACAAATAACAAAGTAGTTGTAAACTATGATTCAATAAATTAGAAGATTACATCGGACTGGACAACGTTTTTAGGGAATGCAGATGAAAAAAGTCGCTTGATTCGTTTTAGCATGCCATTAATTCGACGCGGAAATCAATATTGGTTTTTCCATAAATCATTACGAGATTACTTAATCGCTTGTGTATTGTTAGATTCATTTACTGATACATCACAGACAACCCTCTTCAACAAGCACTCGATTATACCAGAACCTGCAATTCAACAATTTTTGGCCGAACGAGTCCAACAAATGCCAGAACACATAAAATCGTTGTTTAATTTTATTGAGTGTTCTAAAAAGAACGTAAACTTTGAAATTGCCTCGACTAATGCCTTTGCAGTTATCTATTTTCCTAATTTAACAGGGGCAAAAAATCTGGCAAAAGAAATTTATCAAATTCATGAAAATGCCGGATATAATAAAAACATTCGCGAAGCATTTAAGGAACGCGTAATTAAGGCAGAAAATCACGTTGATGTACTTGTAAAAAATACGAATTGTGAGAATTATTTGGACGAGAAAAAGTTAATTCTTAAAAAATTTGAGAATGTTTTGATAAAGATCAGAGATTTTGTTAAGGAAGTATCATCCTTTAAAGTGGTTAAAAGGATCTTTCGTGCAACAGATATTGCGAATAAATTTAATCAATTGCGAGAAGAATATGATGATTTCATGGCAGATTTGCAATTTGCTATCAATATTGACAATAAAACACAGGCCGATAAAGCTCTGGAAAACGTTGAAAAAGTAAGCAGAATTTTTTAATATATTTATTATATTATTTTTAAATTATATATATATATATATATATATATATATTTTAGAATCTCGAGAAACTTGATGGTAAAGTTATTTCGGTGGGCAATATAGTTACTTCAATGGATGATAAAGTTACTTCGATGTATGAAAATGTGAATACAATGATGAATAATTTAGAACTTCTACATGCCAAATCAGATGTTCATGCGAAGAATATTAATCCAGCTGATTTACATGATCCTGCATATAAAACCAAAAATGATATTCGTCATCATGTTTTTAGGAAGGTTATTTACCAAGTGGCTGATGTTGCATGTAAACCTATTAAAGACTATAGTCAGCACCAAACTGAATTGATCATTCTTGGAAAATTATGTAAACCGTCATACATTCCATACATTCTTCATTTTTATGGTTTATCACGAGCTGATACGGGTGATGGCAATTGTGAAGTTATGGTTTTTGAATGGGCTCATCATGGGACTTTGACAGAAGTCTATAACAGTTTCGATATTCCTTGGGTTAGAAAGATACAAATCGTTCGAGATATTTGTCGTGGTATTGTATTTTTACGTTGGGCGGATGTTTTTCATCACGATCTTAGATGCGATAATATTTTTGTAAATAATTTAAATTGTCTTCATTTATGTAATAAACAGCAATTATTAATGTATGAATTTATAGGTAACTCAAAACTTGGATGTAAAACTTGGAAATTTCAAATATTCACATACAGTAGACGCAAATACTTCGAATATTTTGGATTTAATAAAACATATTCATTGGATGGCCCCTGAACAGATCGAAAAGTATACAAAAGCATCTAAAAAAGGATATACACTCTTTTGTGAAGTATTTAGGTTGGTACTTTTAATTTATTAAATTGTATTTTGTTTTTTCACTTTTTTTTACCTTTTTTAATAATCATAATTCTCTGTGGTTAGCTTTGGAATGCTCATTTGGGAACTTTGTTACGAGAGATATCCTTATAGCGTTCAGGGTTGGGACAATGATCTTGTTAAGAAAGTATCCGAACATATTTTAAGTGGTAAACGAGAAGAACTTAGCGTAGGAAAATTTACAGACCTCATTGATAAAGAGATTCAATTAGAATTTATTAAAATAATTATTGAAGGTAATTAATTATATTTGATCCTTGTAGTTTTTATTTATATTGATAATACTGATTTTTCTTTATAAATAGCATGGTGTCATGAACCAACTCGACGAATAGATATTATGAAATTAAATACAGTTCTTGATAGTATGTCTACAAAATATCCTATTCCTCCTGATGCACAACCACTTTTGCGTAATAAAATATATGATTTTGACGAAAAGAAAGAATCAAATCAAACAAAAACAACTTCTTCGGATTCTTTGTTGCCAAAATTTGATGATGACTTGGAAATAATTGACTTTAATGATTCAAGCAGTTTTTTAGTAACTCTTAAAACAGGAATAGAGTTTCATCAAAGTAATGATCACAAAGCTGCGTGGGAATGCTTCGAACAACATTCTAAGCTTGGTGATCCATTAGCAAAATATTGGCAAGCATATTATTATTACAACGGGTATGTCGTAGAAAAAAACCTAGATCAGGCCAGAAAGCTGTTTAAAGAAGCTGCTGATGACGACAACCACCCTGAATCACAGTATCGATATGCAGTTATGCAGCTTCATAGCCTTAAAAGTACTGATGACGAAGCTACGAAAAAGAAAAATTGCAATGAAATTTTACATTACCTTAAATTAGCAGCTGATAATAAAAACGTTGATGCAATGTTTTATTTAGGAGACATCTATATGAACGGAAAACTTAAAACAAACCAAAATCAAGAGATGGGATTAGAATATTTAGAGTTAGCAGTAAAAAATAATTCCAAGAAAGCAATTAATTTGTTAAAGCAATTGAATCATGGTTGTAAATAAGATTTTAATTAATTTTTGAATTTGTGAAACACTGTTAATCAGGGGTTTTCAAAGTTAAAATCAAAAGAATTTTATTTTATAATTCAACAGTGAAGAAATCCTTAAATCAACAAGTCATAAATATAATGGCCAAGTTTTGAGACACATTAACAAAAATAGCCTAATCGATTTGATAACAAGTATATTAAATTAAAAATATATATTATAGAGAGAGAAATTAGGCTTTTTTATAATATTAAATTTAAATATAGTATGTTTTTATTAATAATTTTGGGCAGAATTAAAAATATTATTAGTAATTTTAGCCTAAATTAAGGCGGCCAAATTTTGAATTTAATTATTAAAGTAGATTAACTTTAAAAAGAGATAACTCTATTAAATACTAGTTAATTAAAAAAATAGAAATTTATTTTATAGTGTTATGGCAATATAGTGTTAGAGTATTCTGACCAATTAAAATTTAAGATCAGGTGTAACATGTAGATCATTTCTTTGTGTAACAAATATAATAAAATTTTAAAAAATTAATTATATTTTAAAATTCTGACTAAAAAATCATCTTTTGTATATTAATAAAAGAAATTTCTTGCAAAATTTTAGTATAAATTATATCTTGTCTAACTCTAACTTTAATTTTAATCTAATCTCAATTAAAAGTTTTATTTTTTATAAATAAAAAATACATTTATACTTATTATATGTTTATATATAATGTAACACTATGATACTGCACTATAATAATATTTTAAAAAAAATTAAACTTTGTAATTTTGTTTTTTAAAAGATCTTATTGTGATCTTCAAACTCTTGATCCAGATAATTACTCTCAAATTCATGTATAGATCCAATATATACAAAATATTTGAAGACAACTATATTATGCTTATCATACAGAAAACTTATTACTACTTTATTAACAAATCTAATAAACAACTAAAAAAAGATGTAAAATACTTTTAATATATTCTAAACAAATCATTAACAGTATTCTTAACCAATACAAAGCTCTTATTTACTTTTTCAATATTAAACTCTCTGATCAACTCATTACAAATTTTAAACTTATAAAACAGTATATACAATCTTACTTTCATGACTAGACTGCATATTGATCAATGACTAAACACTATTTGACAACTTTTGATATATATATTATTATTTACAACTATATATTAATACCTAATAATACAATTTCTTTAACTCTACTATTATAGAAAAAGAAGTTCTTCAAATCTTATCATAACTTCTAAATAGAAAAGTCTGTAGATCTACAATCATTAACTATAAAATACTTAAACATACAGATACTATTTGTATTAAAACTATTAAAGCTTTATTCAATTGTTGCTTCAATTCAAGTCAAATTCTTAAACAATAGAAACACAGTAGAATTTATTTGGTTCCAAAATATAATACATTTAACAGTAATTTAAGTCTTATTCACCTTATTAGTTTTATTTAACATATTTAAAAAGTCTATACAAAAATTAGTACTACTAGAATCAATATTGTGTTTTCTCAATATTTAATACTTTTATTTTATAATTATATAGCTCTATCTAACAACAACATATTTATATCAATTTACATATTTATTAACCTTATTGAAGATGCATTATATAATAACAAACCAATTTGGCTTTTATCTCAAAATCTAAATAAAGCATATAACTCAGTTAATCTTATTTTTCTTTAAAAATCTTTACAACATCTTGTCCTTTCTCATTCTATAATAAATACTATTACTAACATCCTTTATAACTGACAAAATTAAGTTATTACAAATCTTAGACTTACTCCATATCCTGTATACAATAGTATTGATTAGAGTAAAATTATCACTTTTTTCTTATAGAAAATCTACTATAACTCACTTATTTCATACATTTATGACAATTTCAAAGGTTATACCATACAAGTTTTTTGGTTAACTAATCTAAAACATTAAACATATAATAAGCTTAGTTCATACTGCTCAGTTTTTGTCTATATAGATGATATTCTTTAGATCTTATCCTTACAACAAGAATTATTACAAATCCTTTTTGCAACTGAATTATTCTTTAATATAGCTAATATACAAATCAACTCTTCTAAATCTATATTTATACTAATAACACACAAACTAATTACACCTTTATTATATACAACAACTATCCTTTTAATCTTTATTTACCAAATAAACCATTCAAATTCCTTGGATACTAGTTTATACTTAATAACAAACAAGTCAAACAAACCAAACTTATCACTACAGAATCATTACATCTTATTAAAATTACAAGTACCAAACAAATTACTAATACATATGCATATTATATTATTAATACTGTCATTATTCCTACAAACAAATATTAATTTTATAACATTGTTTTTAATTAATATACATGTAACAAAATCTTTACAAATCATATAGGACTTGTTAAAAGCAAAGCCAAACTTAGTTGTACAATTTCTACTAGTATATTACTTCATCTCTAGTTATATAATATCTATAACATATATAATATTCAACTATAACATCATATTATAAACTTTACCAAGAAACTTAATTCTTCTGATCTATTAGGAATAAGTACTTGCATTAGGCTTCAGCAAGTTTAGAACAACCTGTAATCATCTATTAGTATTTTGAAACATAATAATCTTATTATTGATGAGCCTAACAAATATATTATTAACTTTAAAATTATTTAACTTTTTAAACATTTTGGTATTACATTTGCATTTAACCCATTGTTGTGCAGCAAATCGGCGAGTCTGTCACTAATTCTTTCCAATCCTCATGTAACCTATGGCGGTTAAGTCAAAATAGGCATGTTAGATTTGGCAGGGTGATTTATCCATAGGTAAGTACTCGTCGCTTTTCTTCTAAGTCTTTTCCTTCAACCTATTCTTCTATTAACCTCTGATTCCTCTTATCTTCTTCTTTACTTCCTTTAACCTGAGGTTACGATCGTAGAATCAGGTTGGAATCCTTCTCTTCTCTTAATGGCTTGGTTACATGATTTGTGGTGAACAAACAAAAATGCAGTTTTACTAGATTAGTAATGGGCAGACGATAGTAGATTATGGTGTTGTTAATGATAGTTTTAGTTTGGGCAGAATTATAGTTTTACTTTTATATTGGGTTCAATACTGTAAGTTTATTTTAGCAAATTATATACTTGGAGGTATCACTTGTTGTTTTCCCCCTGGGTAAAAAGCCCTTTATTTATAATAAA